AGGAGACATTTTTGGGAAAGCACAGTCAATCTCTCGCTTAGGCAATGAAACCCACATCATGTGGGTTAGAGTTAGGCAATGAAACCCGCAACATGCATCAGAACTAAAGCAGTCTTGGGAGATCCCCATTCTGTGAAGGGGTGCTAAGCTAGTCATAGCCCCCTTTTTGTGGGCTCCAGTTCATTGTTGTTGGGTTGAAGAAAAGAATGCGAGTTTTGCCGCTAGGGCAGGCATTGCTTGGCATTTGCAAGGGCCCATGTGCAGGCAGGGAGCAAGTCACAAGTTCCCCTGGACTCGCTCAGCCTCTTGGCCAGGGCAGCTTGCTTGCACACCTGCATTTCCCACTGGCCCTAGCAATGGCCATGGCGGCGGTGGAGGCCTGTAGATGCCACTGGCTCTCTGCCTGTCGGCTGGGCAAGCACAGGACATGCATCTTGTGGCGTCCATTGGCTGGCTCAGAACTGATTGTCTGAAAGCATCAGCATCATTGCCAGCATGAACTTGCAGCCACAAAAGTGGAGCCTTACAGCAAAGTAACATAGGATGCTGTGTTTGGGCAACTTGTGGCCCTCCCGGTTCCTTATCCTCCAGGGCCAATGGGGGCTGTAGACCAAGACAGCTGGAGGATCTGAAGTTGCCCACCCAGGTTCTGCACAGATCTTTTCTCTGTATATTCCATTACAGAAAAATAACTGTAGCATTTGAGAGTAAAGATAAACCTCTCCATACAGATAACTCTGCAAACTTATCTTTGTATGACACACAGTCTTTATTTTCTTCAGGAAATGAAGAAAAATCCGATTAGCTGATTTTGTGTTGCATGTGTAATGTGTTGTGTGATGGTGAACTCTTCATAAAATAGGTCCTGACAAATTCCTCTTGAAATGCTATCAAACCTAGATGCAAAGAATCTAGACAAGAAAGAGATATGAAAAAGGTTGAGATTAGAAGCCAGAGGAAAGTGAAAAAAAGGAAGAAAAAGAAGATGATAAAGTTACTGATCTGACTGTAGGATTAGGAGGTTTTCAAAACTGGTTACAGAAACTTGATAACACATGGGAAAATGTGCAAGTAATATGACAGGCAAGGTACCTGAGCCACAAAATATGAACAAGAACTGACCAGAATTAGATATATGCTTAGATATATGCTTAATAGTTAAAATCTATGAGCATTTAATATGTTTAACTTTGCTGGATTATAGTTAGATGAGAAGAGATTTGAAGTAGGAAAATGATGCTGAGAAATCAGAAATGAAAAAAGTAAGTGAGTGTAGGAAGAGGGAGGAAAAAGTCATAATCAGAAGAGTGCCTGAAGCACTGACTGAGAGGGGTGGGCACCTTGAGCATTCCGGATGTTTTGGCCTACAAGCCCCATTGTGCCTCATCACAGGCTGTGCTGGCTAAGGCTTATGGGAGTTGTAAGTCAGAGAGAGAGAAGAGAATAACAGTGCAATTCTGTGCATGTTTACTTAGAAGTAAGTCCCAGTATTCTCGCTAGGACTTACTCCTAGGTAGGTATGTATAAGATTCCAGTTAACGACTGCAATTCTGTACAGTTCTGTACCTGGGAGTAAGTTCCACTCAACTCAGTGGGAGTTAGGATTGCACTGTAAATACCTTGGGGATAATATAATAATATTATAATGTACTAAAGTTAGCATTGATGTATTTCTCCAGGCAAAACACAATGTAAACTGATTATCAGCAAATCTTGCCAGGCTTTTTCCTAGTTTTAATCTTCCTTTATCTAGCCATGGAGAATTTAACTTTCAAATAAATTAGCTAAAATTATGAAAATACAGTATAATTGAGAGTACCATTTTGAATCAATTTTCCCTCTAAAAGACAAGAAATTATAGTGTAGAAAGATGAAAACCAACCCTGACAAAGCTAGACGTTTCTTTGGAACACTAAAGAAATCTCTCTGCCAAGATCCTTTTGTGCCCACTGCTTCAGCTGCTGAATATGATAGTGTCATGGGCAATTCTATACATTTGCAATCTGTTGCATTACTTCCAGGTAAATGAGGCTCGATTGCAGTCTTAGAGTATGGGAAAAGAACATCATGATTGTGAAAGGTGATGGTTATCTGATGCAAGCTAAGAGATAGATCTGTTTTGTCACTCCCTATTCTATGAGACTTGGCAGCCAGCGGCTTTAGCTGTGTGCAGGAGGAACCTTGCAGATAAAAGTGCAGGCATCAGGCTCTCTGTGATTGCTCTGTATTAGATGGCAGGGGAAGGAAAGAGGCTCTGTTAGCCAATATCCTGCTCAGAAGTACAGGGCCAAGCCTGTAAGCCTCTGGCTGTCTGCTCCAGCTAGGCTTTACGGTTAACAGTGCTCCAGGATTTTGTACTCTCTTCCACACCTCCAAGCTCTGTAATGTTTATGCTTAATATTCCCATCACACATACTCGGTACTTAGTTTGAGTGTGGGGAGGGATGCCAGAACATGTGAAACAATAAGAAAAAGGTTCTGATGTAGATGGCAGCATTTCACACACGGGTGCCAATCGCTGTGTAACTCTTGTGTGACAACTTCTGGGTGAAAATATGAGACTTCAGGCAGCCCAAGCCCAGCAACCACTTCTTAGAAATTGAACACCTTGGTTAACCACAACTCTGTGTAGAACTGAACCTCAACCCTTATTTTTGGATATGCATGAATCAAGGATCTGTTGTGCATGCAGATGTCTCACTGACTGAATTAATGCATACAAATGTGTCACATGCAAGGAAATTTTAAAAATCTTTTTAGCCCAATGTTTGCAAATGTTAGGAAGTTTAAAATGGTAAAACAACAGACATTCACCAAAATAAAATCAAATCACAACCATCTGTTAAAGCTGTATTTACTCCTTAATAATGTAAAGAAATATGGCTCATGCCCTCAAACATTATTAAAACCCTATGCTTTAAAAATATCTATAGAAGAAATCACCCAACCTGATAGAACAATAGACTCTGTAACTCCATGTGTTTTTCTAGATAATCACCCAGATTATTATTAGTGACTTGGACTTTATACCAAAGACCAAAAAATGGTGCAGTAGTTTCACAGCCCTAAGATAAACCAGTTTTAACACTGAGATGACTTGCAAAAAGAGTTTGAAATGTTGCATAATGGTTAAAGGGAAATAGAAAAAATATTGAGGATGCCCAAGCCTTTTGGTGTGCCTAAAGTAGCCTTTTGCGCACTGACATAAATGGGAGGATCTGAGGAAATGGCCTCTTAGGAAGGGCTGGGACTATTGAGGCCCCCCAAATTTCATTTGGCTGTCGTACTTAAAGAGGTTCTGCACCGCTGGCCTACGAGCCCTTCTGACTTGAGGTTTTTGTAAAGCTTTCAGTGAGCACGGTGGTATGAACTGGGCAGTGAGCAGGCAGCTGGGTACCTTGCAGTGCTGTTTATTGACTGATTGGGGGGGATCTATCAGGACGCCAGTGTACCCCCAAATCCAGAGACTTGCAGACATGCTAGGCAGTTCAGGAGGGGCAGTAGAGGCCCCCTTCCCCTCTCTGTCTTCCCCTGCTGTCTAGCTAGGGCATCCTGGGTTGCACAGACAGGAGGCTGGGCTGGGATCAAAATCACTGGCATCCTGGCCTCTCCAGTCTGCCTCCCACCCTGCCCACCGACCCCCCCTTTCAGCACTTCCTTTCCTGGCCTTGGAAAGCAGCCAGCATAGTTCTGTTCTTGCCAGCAGAGAGGAGGAGGTGGGGGGATTAGAGCTCTTGTTCCCTGCCCAGCGTTGTCTCCGGCCTTGCATCTGGGGGCTGGAATAGCCAGTGCCCCCTCCGATCCCGCCTGGGAGCCCCACGATTGCTCCCTTGCGTATTTATACATCTGAAGGCATCATGCAAGGGTAAAAGAGACACGACATGCAATGAACTGGCAGTGATAAGGCAGTTCGGCATCTAGTCCATTCCATTCTCTCCGTGCTACTTTGCCGGTTGCCTGAAGCTATTGCAGCCTTCGCTTTGTGCCCCAGGAAGCTTCTGGCTCAGCTGTTCTGTGTCAGTCGCCAAGATAGGAGCCACTGTAGGGTGAGCAGCTGAGCTCAAGTCATCACTTGATACTGGCTCAGGTCACAGAGCTGCCCTCCTTTGGGAAAACAAAGGCCAAGGGAGCTGTGCAAGAGAGCGGAAAACGGAGCTGGACAGGAAATGATCTCATGCTTCATTCAGAATCCACCACTGGGCCAGTGCAAGGCATCCCAGTGTGACTGCATGAGGAACTGAATTCCCAAAGATGTCCCCTGATAATACACAAAGAGGTGCTTTTTCCTATCCTTTCCTTTCTGCGGGTCCTTCTTACATCCTAGTGATTGGACAGTCTGGGGCAATAATGAAGATCTTTGGCCGCATTTTCATTTTCTTCCACAAAGCCCTGCACTGAGACAGGATGAAGCTTTCCATCTGCGCTGCCGCCCACTTTCTGTTCTCTGTGCATTTGCACTGAATGAAAATAAAAGCCAGCAAGCCTCCCAGCTGTTGAAAGAGGATTCCAGAAGAAACTATTTGCATCTCAACTCACTCCCATGCTATTTATCATCTGGAAATCTGCTTTGCTGTTCAAATTAACTCAGCCTGGATATCGCCCAACTGCAAATACATTTGTATATGGAGGAGCCATCTCCAAAATACTATTTCCTAGATCCATAGAATTTTCTTTTCCTTTCTTGATGGGCGAAGGCCCTGGAAGGAAGATCCCTGTGCAGGAATTGAGGGAATGTGAGAAACAAGTGATGAGAGAGTGGTTAGCATGTTGGACCAGGACTGGGGTGACTGAGGTTCAAGTCCCACTCAACCGTGCGTCTTAGTGGGTGACTGTCAGTCAGTCACTCTCTCTCAGCTGACCTTCCTCATAGGGTTGTTGTGAGGAGAATGGGGTGGGGGAAGGAGGACACTGTATGCCGCCTTTAGCTTTTAGAAGAAATGGTTGCGTACAAATGGAGTAGTTCTCACAGTGGGATATTCCCCACTTCTCTTGTCTTTCAGGGCTCGTCATTACCCTATCTAGAGCTACCGCTGACGAAGAAGGTAAGTTCCCCCTGGCTCAAAAAGGCGTTCAAGCAGCATTAGAAGGCCCAGCTTCAACTTCGGCTGTATAGTTTTGCTTGGCGTTGAGGAGTGCTGGTTGAGCCCTGAGCGTCAAAGGGATGAAGCTCCATGCCAAGGTGGGGGCAGAAGCATTCCAAGAGCCCCTTCTCTGCCCAGGAGAAGGTGATAGATCATGCCACCCGGGTGAGCTAATGGGATTATGTAACCCAAGATACTTTAGAAACCCGTTCTTGTCCAGCCATGCTGTGCCAACAGCATCCTGTGTGTGGTTGAGACATTTCAGGCAGATATACCAGTCTTCAACGGAAGGAAATTAATCATCATCATCTTATCTGTCGTAAGGAAAAGTCTGGGTTCCTAATCCATGCTTCTGTCATCAGGCAAGTGAAGAAGACCCTTCTAAGGAGCGTGCTTAACTTTTCCTCTTCTGAACAATTCTTCTCTGTAAAATCCACCCCTCCCCAACCATTTCCAGCCACTTTTGCCTCTGCTCTTGGGCTAATAAGTGGCTCAAAGCTGGCTCCTGCTGCTTCTCGAACCTAGGAATATGAGCTGCTGGTTGGGCCCCTTTTCCTGCTTACAGTGTACATGACCCCTCCCCATTCATTTTAAAATAGGAAATGATTGTTAGCATAGTTTCAGAGATGATGTTCCCCACCTTCCTGACAAGTGACAAGGAAGGAAGGAAGGAAGGAAGGAAGGAAGGAAGGAAGGAAGGAAGGACGGAAGGAAGGAAGGAAGGAAGGAAGGAAGGAAGAGCAAACAGTTAATGTTTCTTTAGTCATCTGGTGAGTCTCAATTACCTTGTGCTCGGGTGACTGCAGTGTCATATGTGACCGTGAGATGTTGAGGCTGAAGCCCCCTTTCCACTTTCCGCTGATTAATTGCCAACAGGAGCCATTTTGCTGCCTGGGGTGGAGTAGCCCCTTCGCACACCCAGACTGAGCCGCAGTGAAGGTGAACGATGCCTGAAGCCAATGAAATTCACAATAAAGAATGCATTAAATAACGCACTATTTGCTGCCCTTTTGAGATCTGCAAAATCAGCTGCATGGGATGGTGCACTCTGTCTGATCAGAGTCGTGATCCTTCGGAATGTTTTCATTCCCTGCTCCCAAAATTCTGCCAACCCAAATGCATCCTTTGCCCTGCCACGGGCCTCAGCTTTCAGACACAGAATATAGCTCAGAAATTTGTATTGAGAAGCTGTACTGGGGATCCCTAATGGGCCTGATTCAGGACTAACTTTCATCCCCCTGCTCTAGAACAACAAAGAGTCTTGTGACAACTTAATGCCTATTGCAGTTACTGCGGCCTAAGCTAGGACTATGAAGAAGAACCTGCACTTCCCAAGATCCAGTCATTTGGTGCATGCAGAAGAAGGACATGGATGTCTTTAATGCAGAGCCTCATATCTTGCAGATGATTCCTGCGAAAAGTCGTGTGGTTCCCATGCTGCATTAGGGGCTGACTGCTTCTGCACATGTGTACGCGGATTCCATTCAAAAAGTGGGAAGACAAGATTCTGGAATGTCTCTGCAAATGACTGCGTGGGTAAGCACTTCTTGGGACCACCTCTTGCTTGAAATGCTTCATGCTCACTCCAGGCGTGGCTTAACTGAGAGCCGATGCAGATGTGCAAGGCCAGCTGTGGTTGCCACTTCTGTGGCTTGCCTTTCCAAAGTGCACCCCTAGAGCACAGTGGCTGGTTTTGAAACGGAGGGACCCAGGAAAACTCTCAGGAAAGCTCCGTCTGCCACCTGGAATGGAAACAGGGAGAGTTTCCCAGGTTCATATCCAACATGCTGTGGGAGGAACTTGCTGAGCTCCCTCTCGGCCTGCACTTATTTCTCAGGAAACTACTTTTGCTTAGAAGTTTGGAGCATACAAAGCTCCCCTGTATCGGTTCAGACCATTGGACCTGCTAGCCCAGTTTGGTCTGTTCTGACGTGCAGTAACTCTTTGAAGTCTCAGCCACTGAAGGTTTACCCAGGAACTTGATTTGCTGATTACCAACCACAGTGGGTATTTGTGTCATGCAAACCCAGTCCCTGTCTCTCCTTCTGAAGTGCAGATTTTTTGGCTTGTTCCAGTTGGGAATCACTAGCGAAGCCGGGTATACTCGGCATACTAGTGCTCGTTCGAGCTTTTTGCCTGAGTAGGAAGTTCCTGCTAGCAGCTTGGAACGGCGGCAGGCACAATGCAACTTGCTGTTTGAGGATTGTTGCTGCACAGGAATGCTACAGAACACCTCTTTGTGTGACTTCGGGCATCTTTCTTCTTCCACCACTGGAAATAGAATCTTTGTGCAGGCACAAGCTGTGTCCTCCTCACCACAATAAGTGATGTCCAAAATCGGGGCCAATTTGTTGTATATTTCTCCAAATTTCTCATTGCAGACATTGATGAATGCAAGACAAATGCTTCCCTCTGTGAACCTGGTGGAGAATGCCAGAACACCCAGGGGACCTACGTCTGTAACTGCAATGAAGGGTTTGCACAGAGCGTAAGAGATGACAGAAAGATATGCACAGGTACAGTTCACGGGAATGTAACTTTTTCTATGTATGACCAAAATAATATATGGACAATGCTGTTTCTGCAGTTATACTAGTGTTGCAGCCTGCACCTGCATTGATGCTTTGGGTTAGACAGTAGTCTAAATACATGTGAAGCATTTGGTAAAGCAAAGCATCCATTCAGGCAGGATTTGACGTGGAGGATCAGTTCATTTAAATCATAGCTCAGGCCACAGGTATTTCCAGTATATACAGGATCATGCCACACGTAAGACGACATAAACAGTGGGAAGCTAGAATAATGGTCTCTCTTCCTTTTCATATGCACAGATACATGTTTGTGGAAATGAAAGTTTCCGTGCATGCAAGCACTGCTGATTTCTGCCTGCAGTAACCCAGAAGCTTCTTGTGTAGCCAGTATGGCCATACGCTCCTCCAGAGGCCCATCTTGTCCATCGGGGTAGTTCACGTAACTTAACCCAACTGCAATCTATGTGACTTTTGTTTCTTTGCTCAGTTACGCTCATATCCTGCCTCTTGATTTATTTTATTATATTTATATCCCGCCTTTTTTCCTTCCAAGGAACGCAAGGCAGCTTGCATCATTCTCATCCCCCTCTCAGTCTTATCCTCACAGCCACCACCCTGTGAGGCAGGTTGGGCTGAGGCGCAGTGACAGGCCCAAAGTCACCCCGGGGGCTCCGTGTCCTACACTGATTCATGGAAGCGTGGTCAAGATGTCACGTGCACTTACGCAAACTGCCTTGTGGCATATCTGAGCAATTCATTCCTACAGTTACATTGAAATGGTGTTACCTCCTAGCCAAAGACAAAGCTCCCCTGGATTGGTTTGGACCATTGGACTTGCTAGTCCAGTATGGTCTGTTCTGACATGCAGTAACTCCTTGAAGTCTCAGCCACTGAAGGTTCTTTTCCTTGAGACTGATCCCAGATTACCTGCTGCATCCAAAGCATGTACTCTCTCTCTGAGCTTCCCTCCCACCAACCCTCCCAGCAAAGTTGATGCCTGGACTTACAGTCCCTCCAGGAGAAATGCAGCTTTTATAAGCATTATGGCAGGAGAAAGCACAGGAGATGGTGAGAGAACAGGTCGGCATCTGCCCACCTGTGCTCAGGTATTGCCCAGCGGCATGCCAATAATTTCAGAATGATGCCATGTAACACTTTAACATCAGGTTTCCCCAGTACATTCGGTTGGGTGGGCACATGTAAGAAAAGGCTACAAATCCTGGCCATCAATTGTTTGGAATTTTATTTGACAATAACATAATCTTGATTGCAGCCCAGGAGCTAAGAGGCAGCCAGTGCAGCTCTTCGAGCACAGGGCTTCTACGAGCACCGCTGGGTGGCCCAGTCGGCACCTACCTGCTGCATTCTGCCACAGCTGCCAGACCCAAGGGCAGCCCCATAAAGAGCTCATTGCACTAGTCTACTCATGAGGCGCCAGTGCACGGATCCCTGCCTAGCTGATTGCTGTCCAGGAGCAGGCATGGTTGGCATACCAGCCAAAGTGGGTCATGGGCACTCCGGGCCACCAAGCTCACCTGGGCCTCCAATGATACTGCTGGACCCAGGAGCACCCCCAGTCTCTGCTCTCACTCCCCACAGGGAGGACAACCCCATTCAGGGGAGGCAAACAGCCTGACTCCCTCTAACCTGGGAAGTGCCAGTCCACAAGGACTCTGTCTTGTTGGGGTTCAGCTTCAGTTTCACAGCCCTTCTCTATGCAATTACTGCATCCAGGCAGAGGTCTGGATCCCTCATGACCTTCTCTTGATCTAATCATCCTGACTGAGTAAACCCACAGAGCCTCAATCCGTATCTTGAAAACTGTGCCTGAGTAGAAGGCAGGTGTATCTTCCCACCCAGCCGCCTCCCCCTTAAATTCCCCCTATCCATGTAGGGACTAAAGAACGGGGGGAGCCTTCCACTGGTGCCATTGGAGTGTCACGTGTTTCCCTGCCTGAAACTGAGCGCTTGTTTGCTGGTTTGCTGACTTGGTTTGCTGACTTCTCCTGAAAGGCTCCCTCTGGCCAGCGGTTGTCTGGCCTCGTGATCCCATGACAGACAATCAGGCGCAGCAGGGGGTTGTGTCCTTCCTCCCCCACTTGCCGCTTCCCTCTCCCTTGGTCCTTCTGCCGTATCTCAGAGGACACCGCAGGGACACGGAGATGTCCCCTTCCTTGCAGCAAGGCAATTTGTGAGGCTGCTGGCTTTTTACAAATCAGATCATGAAAGCTGTTATTAGAGGCAGCTTTCAGGTCCAATCTGGGAGGTTCCTCCTCATGGATGCCCAGTGGTTTGGGGGACGGGGACGGCCTGTGATTGTCCACTGCTTAAAACAAATGTTTGAAGTCTGATTCAGAGTACGCTTTGGCGCATTCAGTGTCAGAAGACTTGTTCGTTTTTTAAGCTGAGCTGTTACCTGCACTCAGCGGGATTTCTAGCATCTCTGGGACTGGTCTCTTTAGTGGAGTATGGATAGAGTGGGGGAAGCTGGGGAGCTGCTTCCCAAATCTAGCAGGCACTCACTCCAGCCAGCCTGTTGCACAAAGCCTTGCTGTCAAGGTGTGACCACAGGGCTCCATGCAAGCTGCAAGAGAGTGGAATTCATGGAAAGAGGGGATTCCCACTGTTTACAGCACAATCCTCTAGTTTTTTCGGGAGGGACACCACTGCAAGTGTCTCCCAGGTGTTGTAAGAGACCTTTGCCCCCCGCTGCTAGCAGCAGGAGCATTCTTCAAAACTTGGAGACACCCCTGTGCAGAGAGGCATGGGTAACCCCCCCCCCCGCCACCATCTTTACCACTTCTTGAGTTGCTGTCAACTCAGAGCAAATGGCAACATGGAAGGTACAGTGGAAAGGGCATCTTGGCAGCCTCCTAAAACCTTGGGATTCTGTGTGGAGTGGAGGTAATTGAGGATTGTTCCCCCCTCCCCTCATATACCCTTTCTTACAGTTTTTTTCTAAACTTTTTGGGAAGTATCACTGTTCCCTTTGGTTATCCATACTTAGGAAAATACACCCATTCCAAGTTGAAATATTGTGCCTCACTGCTAAGTATTTCTGTCTTAGATTTTCTTTTTCTTTTCTTTTTTAATGGGGCGGGGAATCTTCAGGGATTTGAGGTGATGATTATATGGCTCTGGGCTGGCCTCAGTTTCTCAAGGGCAGAGTGGGAACCTGCCCCTGCCCAGTAAAAAAAAAAAAAAAGGTCCAAAACCCTACAAAAAATTTTTTCCCTGTCATTCTTGGCAAGGGGCTCGCTTGGCTCTTAGCTTGTCCCTGGCTTGCTGTGTTTTTAGATTTGGACAAAGAGAATAAGTCAGATGGGTTAATTAAACCCTAGAACAAGCCATAAGCAACTGGGCTGATTTATAAGCCAGCCCAAAGTGGCTTATGGACCACCCCTTGGGGAGTGTACTCGGTTCAGACAACACACTGACTGATCATGGCTACAAACCACAGTGGGTATTTGTGTCATGCAAACCTAATCCCTGTCTCTCCTGAAGTGCAGATGTTTTGGCTTGTTCCACTAGTTGGGAATCACTAGCGAAGCCGGGTATACTCGGCATACTAGTGCCCGTTCGAGCTTTTTGCCTGAGTAGGAAGTTCCTGCTAGCAGCTTGGAATGGCGGCAGGCACAATGCAACTTGCTGTTTGAAGATTGTTGCTGCACAGGAATGTTAAAGGACACCTCTTTGCATGACGTGGGCATTTTAGTGCTTCTACCACTGGAAACAGAACTGCTTCTCTCTGTGCAGGCACAAGCTGTTTCCTCCCCACACAATAAGCGATGTCCAAAATTGGGACCAATTTGTCTTATTTCACCAAGAAGAAAGTTTTTCATTGCAGACATTGATGAATGCAAGGCAAATGCTTCCCTCTGTAAACCTGGTGGAGAATGCAAGAACACGCAGGGGGACTACTACTGTAAATGCAATAAAGGGTTTGCAAAGAGCGGAAGAGATGTCAGAAAGATATGCACAGGTACAGTTCATGGGAACATAACTTTTCCTGTATATGGCCAAAATAATATATGGACAATGATGTTTCTGCAGTTATACTAGTGTTGCAGCCAGTATATACAGGATCATGCCACACGTAAGGCGACATAAACAGTGGGAAGCTAGAATAATGGTCTCTCTTCCTTTTCATATGCACAGATACATGTTTGTGGAAATGAAAGTTTCCGTGCATGCAAGCACTGCTGATTTCTGCCTGCAGTAACCCAGAAGCTTCTTGTGTAGCCAGTATGGGCCATACGCTCCTCCAGAGGCCCATCTTGTCCATCGGGGTAGTTCACGTAACTTAACCCAACTGCAATCTATGTGACTTTTGTTTCTTTGCTCAGTTACGCTCATATCCTGCCTCTTGATTTATTTTATTATATTTATATCCCACCTTTTTTCCTTCCAAGGAACGCAAGGCAGCTTGCATCATTCTCATCCCCCTCTCAGTCTTATCCTCACAGCCACCACCCTGTGAGGTAGGTTGGGCTGAGGCGCAGTGACAGGCCCAAAGTCACCCCGGGGGCTCCGTGTCCTACACTGATTCATGGAAGCGTGGTCAAGATGTCACGTGCACTTACGCAAACTGCCTTGCGGCATATCTGAGCAATTCATTCCTACAGTTACATTGAAATGGTGTTACCTCCTAGCCAAAGACATCCCAAGCAGATCTTTGATCTCAGGAGGCCTGTGGTTGTTCCTTTCCCCCACCACCTTTCTCACTGTCCTTTGCAGAGTTCTTATTCCCATGCTGTTTTTCGTGCCCACTCCCCCTCTTTCAAGATCTTCACGGGGGTGATGCCCTCTCCCCCAGCCATTGTAGTGAATGTGTCAATTGTGGCAGCATGGTATCCTCTTACAGAAGTGCATGTCTAACCAGGATATTTTAGATTGTTCAGACGCTGTCTGTAGGAGTAAAAGCAGAACAGAATGCAAAGGTGAATCTTGTTGGAGGAAGCTGGGAAAGGGGGATGTGGGTGGGGGCAGGAGGCACTGTTTGAGGGATAGGAGCCTGACACTGCAAAAGTTGTGCCATGTAATAAGTGTCGACCTAGGATGTAAAATGCTCCCCCGTGTGTGCGCGCGCGTACATGTGTGTATTGTTACTTGATCTTGGACTGGAAAGGTGCCTGCATTTATTTTAATAGGGCACTAGTATTAGCTTCATAAATGCTGTAGTGACGCTAAATCCACAGGAGAGAAAAAGAGCAGAAAAGTTGCATCGATTGCTTCAATAAACCACAGCACTTATCTTGCCTAGCTTGTTTCAGTGACTCCCTGCATGCAAAGACAATTTGATTCCAGATGTGTTAACAGTGATCATTTTCTGCTCGGACTACGTCTGACTGGGCTACCCAGGTGCATTATTTTCTTGGATCATCTCTGCAGGGGGGGCTAGTTTCCACTCCCCTGGAGCTGTGCCTCGACAGCTCCCTCTTCCAGGCTGATGATTGACAACAATTAGCCACCCTTTGCTTTCCACTGCCGGCTCGTTCCTGATGCTCTTCAGCCTGCTGGGTCTCGTGGAGGAAGGTGTGGGGCCAGTAGGATCAGGGCTCGGGCCATGCATGCCTTGCAGATGCATCACACAAAAGGGAAGGCCCCTTTTGCCCCACACCACCTACAGTCTCACTGGTCTGTGGCAGCACCAGGCAAGGAGCTCCTCAAACCACTGAGTTACTTTGGCACAGTTCCCAGAGCACCCTCTTTCGCGCAAATGTCCCCAGCCCTCAGTCGTTTACAAAACTTCAGACTTAGAGCTGAAACACTTCATAGGTGTGCTCAGCGTATGAACTGTTGTGACAACATAGCAGGTACAAGTAGTTGTGAATTCTTGTAGTTTAAAATTGTGCAGTTGCATCGTGTCCGGCTAGAGCAAAGATCATTTCCAAATGTTTTTCCGCCCTGCATCAACCTCTCCCTACTTTACCCTTTCAACAACTCTGTGAAGCTGGCAGGCATAAGATAGCCATCCAGTGAAATTTATGGCCGAATAGAAGCCTGAAGTGTGTTTTCATGGGAAGCTGCCCCGTGTGGATTCAGACCGCTGGCCCACCTAGCTCAGCCTCCCACAGCCTGGCACCTTCACGATGGTTTGGGCTGCAACGCCCCAGGAGGCAGGGTCAGGTGCCCGCACCATGCAGCAGGGCGAGGGGACAGTGAACGGCGCCATTTCTCCCTGCTGCCTCCAGCCCTGCCACTCCACAGAACTCCACAGGCGCTCTTCAGTGGTGGCGAGTGCTGGAGTGAGAGAAAGGCCAGCGGAGCGCCTTGCGGTGGCTGCTCATCCTCATTTGCCCTCACCACACGCCCTACCTTAGGTGTGCTGCCACAGCCACCACCACATCCGCTCTGTGTGGAGCTGTGCAGCAGGAAGAAGGGGCCTTGGGTTGCTCGTAGCAGCTCGCCCAAGTTCTGCAAGAGCCCCGCAGATGCATTCTTCCCGTCAGAATGTTTGGAGATTATGCTCTGCTAGAGTATTTACTGCACATTAGGAAAGGTAACACCAAGTCTTAAGGGGTCATCAGCACAGCTAACAAAACAATATGGTTGAGTTCAGCCAAATTTTGCTACTGTGACTCCAGCTGAAGTTGTTATGGACCACGTGACATAAAGTTCTATGAAATGTGCTTTGATAATAAAAGTGGAATCCCAAGAGCTTTTGGGAAGGAAAAGCAATGGTTTCTGATAACATGTCTGTTTTTGTCCCCAGCACTGCCGTGTCCAAAGCTTTCAAGTATTAATTGTTCAGATGCACAGGTGAGTAACATCCAGATATGGGATGTCAAGACCATTTAGCCCATAGGTTCTGCCTACAACCATTCTGTTGGTGTAAATAGTCAGTCCTTGTGTCTGTTACACCCATAGAAAGCATTGTGGAGGGACATAAAGCCCCACTGGTGCTCCTGTCAGGACTGAAAATGTCATGGGTGTATGTTGGGAGCATGTCACAAATGGGCCTGGATCGTCAGGATCCAAAGACGCCCACATTTCATTCACACTGAGGATTGGACCTGAAGCTATGCCAGCCTTGGAGCTGGTAGGTTCATTTCTCTTCATCCACTGTGATCAAGGGAGGACAGAGAAGCAGTCCTATCATGGCTGGAGTGAGCAAACAGGGCTATGGGTGTGGTGGATCTCCAGCCCTGCTCCCTAGGATTACTCACTCATTAGCCTTCTATTGACTTGGGCAAATAAGCTACCATGCATATAGTTTAAAACAATTTTAAACTCTTTTTAGTTTAAAAAACTTTTTTAAAGGTTGTTTAAAAATGAAAAGAAATCAAAATTCTCCAAGGAAAGCTGAATTTTATGACCTGTTTAAATTATGCAAGCTGTGAAGGTTATCATATAATTGCTGAATTGGCATAATTTGTACAGGAATTGGAAGGAGAGAAAAGCTTCTCACGGCATTGAAGGCCCAACTCCCTAACCACCAGAAGCCCTGCTGTTTTGATACACTGGCTCCTAAAATTCTGCCAAAGTGTTGCCCCCATACATGTCAACTTTTTTTTGCATTGCACCCTGAAGGACAAGAAACTTGCTCTTTTAAAACAGAAAGTCCACCTATTCTGTGCCAAATATAGTCTCTGCACTTGAGCTATGCAGTTGTAGGATATTTTGTTTGTTTATATCCTGCCTTTTTTCCTGAAAGGATCTCCAAGTGACTTTCATAATCTGTCTCTTTCTGCTCTCCATTTTAGCCTCACAACAGTCCTGTAAGGTAGTTTAGGCTAAGAGTCTGACTTCCCAGTGTCACCCTGTGAGCTTCATGGCCAAGAGGAGACTAGAATCCGAGTCCTAGTCCCACACTTGGGCCATTATGTCACACTGGTTCTGGTTTATTAATTTGTTTTATTTATTACTGTATAATTTGCACATCTCTGGTTTATTTATCCATTAAGAGAAAGAATTGTCCCTCAATGCAGGGAGTTAATTTTTTGTGGAATTTGTATCCCTGACATTCAAAATCTTGGCTTACTGAAAAAAGGAATGTTTAAGTTACTCTTGGGAAACACAGGAATGATTATAATTGTGCTGTTGAAGTCTGTCAGGACAAAATGTTGGCTGTCACCTCGTGCCCAGTTGTCCTACATGGGTATTGTGTGCCTAACCATACCAGATTGTGGCCATCTGTTTTATTTCAAATTCCACTCCCTGTGTTTCCTGTGGCCCCTTTTCTGTTGCACTGGCAGCTCAGTGAGCAGTCCAGGCACAAGCTTTTCACAGCTTCTCTCCCCTTGCACAAAGCTGGTGGGAGCAGCCAAACGCTGTGGGTGGCTGGGGAAAAGTCAATACCACAGCGGGAGACTGGGCATCAAGCTTCTCTTCCCAGTACCATCGTCCTGATCTAGCTTAAGGTTACCTGCACTGGCTGTTTATTTATGTATGCAGTTAGGCAGAGCAGGGCTAACACAGTGGATTCCGGTCCCCTCTTCTCATCCCGGTCCCCTCCATCTCCATCCATGGAGTTTTGGGGGGATTGTTTTTCAGGATCGCTTTTGCAAACTTGCAACAGAGCTGAGCGGTCTTTGCACTTCAGAAGTGAGAAACCAGAGCCTGGATAGTCTCAACGGTATGCAGGTATGTTTCAAGCTTATTTCACACCTTTTATTTCTCAAGTCAGAATTGCATATGTGAGAAGAAAGTGTTATTCATTAAAAATATGTGGGGATAAAGGCCAGCAGGTGGCGCTGTCCAGCCCTGTGTCATCTCCCCTTCCCCCCACCCCACCCCTACTCTCTTGCAGGCAAATGGTACTTAAGTATCCCTCCTGAAGTTCTCTCTTAAGGCCTTCTGTCGGTCAGGCCTCTTCAGCAGCAGTTCTTCATGCACTCTTCCTACCCTCGGGGCCAAACCACTTGTTCTTCAAAACACACATAGCAGTGCATGATTTACCTCAGTACAAGCATGTATGGCTGTCATTAGGACTGGATCTGTGGCACACTTGGAGAAAGCCTTTAAGCTCCCTCCCATTTTTATCCTGGAGTTCCAGCCACCCCCATGAAAGTGAGGGAGAAGAAAGAAAACAATACCCATTGATTCTAATAGAGGTATTTCTTCATTTTTTTCAACATACACACACCCTGGATTGTGCATGGAACTTCAGGACCAAAATGAGGTGGGGAAGTTGATCTCTCCCCTCCCCGAATGCTATAGTGCCAATGATTTAGTACATCCAGGCTTACGCTGAGGTAAATAATGTAGCATATTTTGGCCCTGTGTCCAAACCCAAACAGCGCTCTGTCCTCCTCCTTAACACTCAGCTCAATGTATGCAGTATATTGGCAAAAGCACAACTTACAGGACTGAATTAGACCAATTCCCACTGCAATCATTTGTAGAGATCGAGAAGCATCGGAGCAGGGCCAACCCAAGATATTTAGCTGCCCAAGGCAAAGGATGAGATGGTGTGGGTGTCCCCTCCCCCTGCCGCCCTGCTCAGGTCCATTCACAGATTGCCTGCTGGATTTTATTTCAACACTGGAGACAGGGGAGCAGCATCTTCCCTCACCACCAAGGACTGCAGGCTAGTTTAGTGGGTGCAGAGGAGGCCATGTGTCCAGACTGCTCCATCCTCCAAGATGGTGGAGGGGCCCAGTGGCTGCGAAAAAGAAGAAGGGGCGCAGGACTACCACTGCTGCTTCAGCCCACTTGCCACCTGACGTGGTTATCTCAGTGCACAAGGAGGAAGGCAACTTCAGATAGGTGGGTGATGGACAAAACTTGTAGAAGACAGTAATTAAATAATAGAGGGCTCATGCATTCCATTGGCAGCCAAGATATAAAGACCATTGCCAGTTGCAGAGTTATAAACTGCAGCTAAAATCAATTCAGTGCCAGAAAGAAATTGCTGTTCACAGAAGGGTAACAAAATAAACCACTTATATGAAATTGCTTAATCAACTGAACAATAGCGAAAGTATACATAGTTATTTCAGCCAAGCATAATCTTAGATGACTTCTGAAATGATAAAGTCAAGCAGGGTAGATCTCAGGTGAAAAATACAAATGCTTATCAGAAGGGTAGAGGGGAGTGCAAGATGCAAAGATGTGCAACATGGAAGCTTTCCATTTACTTTTCACTCCCCTGTCAAGCAGAGTCTTTGTATTCATCCAGAGAAAATTACATTCCTAAACTGCATTAAAGCCTATTGTAATGACACAGGAACCAAAGGAACCTACACCTGAGTTGTGTTCCATGTTACTAGAAATGTACAATGCACCTCTTGTAGCACAAGCACGGGCAACAAGAAACATGCCTGCACTCTGTTAATATTTTACAACTGGACATTTATATGATGTTTAGGTACAGTCCTAATCGAGGTTGTAATTCAGTAAATTTGACTGGATTCAGTGGGGCTTACATCCAAGTGACTGCAATTTGGATGAGGGCCTTTCTTTACCAGGCATATATATATTTCCTAATTCTCTCCCACACTCTTCCGCTTCATACTTGCTTTCTCTGCAGTCAAAAAAGTTTAAGGAAGCCTTTCTTTAAAAGCTATGAAATGGAAGTTCAACAGAGTCCTGAAGTGGGCTGGAACCTAGCAGCCACTTTGCTGCATTGCCTCCAATGCACGTTGCACACTCCCCCTCTTCATAGCACCAGGCCCTGTACTGCAGCTCATTGGTTCGAGCTCCAAGCCAACATGTGCATGAAAATCCATGTGCAGGTTTCCGGAATGACACTTCTGGCTCCACATGCTCAAGGCCCAAAAGCCACACTCACTGCATTCACATGTGGTACAATCGGGCTTGAGGCCACTGGCTAGTCAGGAGCTGTGTTTGTTTATGTTGCTGTCCCGCCCATTCCCCGTATATGTCTAAAAGTAAAGCCAGCTTTTCCCATCAGCACCAATGACATTGCTTCTTCCCTCTTAGACACTGATGGATATGCTGGGTGAGATAGTGGTTTATTTGGAGGATATGGACAAGACGCAGAGGCACCGCCGGGCTACTCAGCTGATGCAGATGGCAGAATCCCTCCTCAGGTTTCTGGTAGTTCACCTGCCCAAAAATAGCACCATCTTTGGGTCCAGCAGAGACATAGGTGAGAGCACAGAATAATTGGAGGTGGGCTGAAGCTTTCCTGCTGGCAGATGTTGGGGCTTTCCTCTGTTCTTCCTGGTGGGGCACCTACACCTTCCCTTGTAACAAAGGGGTGGAGAACCTCCTTCAGACTGAGGGCCGAGTACTGTTCCTGAGAAATTCTGAGAAATTCCAGTGGAGGGAGAGAGCAAAATGTAGAAACAAATCCTGTTTTAGCTTAAAGCTCCTCCTGCCAGTAACTAAGCCTCAGGAGAAGTACTTCTACCGTTGTAAGGGGTGAGCTAGCTGTGCTTGTGCAAAAGCTGGAAAACACCAAAGGACTGGCACTCAGTACAAAAGCATTTTGCTCTTTGTGGAACTTTGGAGGGCTGGTTTTGGCCCACAGGCCTGAAGTTCACCACCCCTTTCACCGTAGGGGGAAGGGAGAAAGGCTGGCCCTGGGATATTGGGAATAAGGGCTGTCCCCTATTCAGATCTGCCCCAAGGTGCCCAGGATGTCTCCCAGCTGGGGAGAGACTGTAAATGGAGCAGCTGGACTATGTTGAAGAAAGAGGATGCTTCCCACTCAGCCTCTCGCAGCCCAGCTGCTCTTTTCTGCTAGCTGACAACTTCAGCCTGGTGTTTGTTTTGACTTTGACTTGTTTTGATTCCAGATCTGTCCATAGAGATCAGGACCAACAGGAGTGAGAGCCTGGCCCGGCTGTCCCAGAATGAGACACGGATGGAGGTGGACTGGAGCGCAGTGAACAAGACGGGGAAAGGTGGAGTCCTCTGTGCACCGCAGATGTAGCTGCAGCGCACAGCACATTCCTCTTGTGCCAGGACAGGCCGCAAAGGAACAGTTGCGGGGGGGCGGGGGCAGCTGCCCCAGGAGACAGCTTCCAGGTCAGGCTTGGCATGTGTATAAGCCAGGGAACGGACAGGCAATGCACAGCTCCTCCGGTGTTCAGCTGAGTGGTGGGGCAGTGTCAGGAGAAAGGGAAGCAGTTCTCTCTAAAGATGGTCTGGGGATGCACTGAAGACTTTTAGTGGAGGGGGAAAGACGACAAAACAAGTTTTACCATGAGAAAAAGAAAGGGTTATGAAAAGAGGGAAGGGAGGGGTTATCACATGGATTTTATTGGTAGAATGATTGGGACTGGCCATAGATCTAATTTAATCTGTGGAACTCCCTGCCACAAGATGTAGGGTAGCCGCAAGCTTAGATGGCTTCTAAAAGGGATTCAAGCTTCCGCCCATGGCTGTGAGCCGCAACAGCCAAATGGTTCCGACAGGTGTGCCTTTGACTGCCAAGCAGTGGGGGCTGTTTCCTCCCTGCTCCAGGGAGGCACTCGACTGGCCGCTTGTGGCAACAGGGTGCTACACTAGATGGTCCGCTTCCAAGGCAGAGTTCTGATGTGCTGAATGGACCACGGAGGGAGCTTGTCACTCGTCAGACATTTCTGAAGGCTAGTCCACACTTGAAGCACAGCGAGGTGCTAGAATAGACCATGACATGAGGCTGTGGGTGGGAGTGCCTAGGTAAGTGTATGAGGGAAAAGGCTAGGCCCTGCTGTGTTAGTGGGGGCTCTTCCCGTTGAAAATGCAATTCCTCTCTACTGGCAGCTTGATGTGGTGCTGTCTCTCTGGTGTTCAGCCACGTCAGGCCTGCACATACTCCTACCAGCGGCTGTTAAGTCCTCACTGCTGAGGAGCCACTAAGCTGCCATGTTATCTTTTCAGACTTCAACATGGTTGGCCTACTCACGTACAAGAACCTCAAGTCCGTCCTGACTGAGGCTGAGGTGAAAGGGAAAGAATGGGAGGAAGTCGCAAAGTCAAAGAGGGCAGTCAAGCCCAGCTACAGGGTGCTCTCCAGGGTGGCATCTGCTTTTGTCAACCACAATGAGACAATGTCTTTGAGCACCCCTGTCACCTTCAGCTTCACCCACCCAAAACCAGTGAGTATCTGATTCTCTGCTTTCCTCCCTAATCCTTTCAGTGTGCCATTTCTCTGCTCCATCTTTGTCCTTTAACACAACGAAGCAGATGCGTTGGAGAAGGAATGTCCTTCTGGGTCCTCCTGGCTGACCCACTTGATGTGATGTTGGCCCCTCCTAGATCTACCTTAAAGCCAATAAGTTCAGCCTATTTATAGTTCCTCGTGTTTCATAGACACATACACCATCCGTTTTGGGGGCATTTTCAAGTCACTGAGCATGAATCCTGCACTCCCTCTCCTAACCTCCTGATACTTCAGACCTTCCACTGGAGAGTCTTCTCTGCATTCCCAGAACTCGGATCCTGACGTGAAGGTGATTTGTGCCTTCTGGGAGCCTCTCAATGGCACTGGGCGCTGGTCGGAAGAAGGCTGCAGGCGCCTGAACTCCAGCACCAGCACCACAACCTTCTGCCAGTGCGACCACATGACGAGCTTCGCTGTGCTCATGGCCTTCTATGATGTGCAGGTGAGTCCCAACAGGCCAGAAGGAGGCTTAGTCCCTGCCACGACCTGCTTGGAGCAAAAGGGGAGTAAGGAGCCACAGCTGCACGTCAGGGATTTGCTGTAAGCTCAGAAGAGAGGGGATTATGTCACTGCCGAGAGGCTTGGAAAGGGCCAGATTTTGCAAAAGACAATGACTCACAAGGCATCTACTATGGTGCTCCTTAGGTACAATGCAAACACGAAATAAACACTTTTGTTCCCATGGTCTGATGTATGTCTTCTGCACAGAAGTGATTGAACACTTCCTGTTTTGGTCTGTTTGCTACAAGTGTGGAAACTGCTGCATGCAGCACTTGATATGCATGTAATGCTTGAAACAACCCCAAAGTAGCTCACTCAGCAGGGAGTAACAGTGGTTTCCTCTTCGGATGTTGGCTATCCACTGCTTCTGCTCTAAGCATATCACAGTGGAGCTCAAGTATCTGCTAGGTTTCGAGGAGGAGGAGGAGGAGTGGCGGCAGCGATCTGTCTGCTAGAGACACTACTGCTGACTTTGAATAGGCCTGAGTGCCTCTTCAGCTGAGCACACACGCCAGCAGCTGCTGAGGAGGAAAGGAGCATTATTTTTTTTATTATTATTATTATTATAACATTTCTATGCCGCCCCTTGCCGAAACGTCAACCTCATCAGCATGGCGTGATGGCCGTGCCATTTTGAAAGGGGAGCTGGCAGGGGCCACTTGTCTCTGCCAGTGCTGCTCCTGCAGCAGCTCCGTAGCCCAGCCTGCCTGCCCCCCTGTCCTCCCTCCTCATTCAGTCTTCCCCAGGCTGGCAGCCTCCAGATGCCTTGGACTACAGCTGCCATTAGTCCCAGCCAGCTTGGCCAATGGCTGGATTGAAGGAAGTACAGTCCAAAGTGTTCCCATTTCTGTCAAACTTGGAACTCTTTTTATTATTGGCTAGAGAAACGGGACTATGCGTAAATTTGAATATGTCTATGGATTGCTTTAAAAAAAATGGGGGGCTGACCCAGTAGGTCTGATGTCTTTGATGACTGATGTTTTTAGTTTTTTTAGTTTGTAGAAAATAATAATACAACTTATTAAAAAAAAACAAAACAAAGTGTTCCCATCCACTTGCTCGCTCTCTCCCTCCCCCCATCTCTTCCTCCCAACTGACAGCTTGCACCCACTCATGGAGAGGGGCAGGTAAATGCAGGTGAGCCAGGACAGGTGCATGGTAGGAGCAGGAAGACGCTGAGTTGGCAGCTGAGCACAGAGGAGGAAGGAGGACCCCTCTGCACCTGACTGACTCAGCTCACTCTGTCAGCTAGTTGAGACACAAGATGCATATGAACTCCTTTACTTTGTAGGTGCCAAGAGAACAGTGGGGAAGGGGGACGTACAGGTACCCTGGTGTCCAAGGTCCCACAAAAACAGCCACTGCACCTGCTTTTTAATGGTCCTGTAGTGCCATCCTGGGGGGGGGGGGACACAGAGGAAAGACCAGGACCAAGGATAGGAATTAGATTTTGGAGTCTGGTTCTAAGCTACCGCTGGTGTTTAGTAAGGAGCTAACAGAATCAAAGCAGGTTGCACAAAGAGCAGGGAATGCTTCAGAGCAGGGTGGGACCTTCTGTAGAACTACGCTTGAATCCTGCTTCTGGCCCACCAGCTGTTCATGCTGCTCTTTGCCATGTGGTCTCCTAGATACTGGGAACTGGAAGTAGTTTGCCATTTCAGCACTTTACTCTCCTATCAGAATGTTCTTTTCCGACTGGGTTTGCCAGCCAGCAGGTCATGGCCAGCTTTCTGTTAGGACCTGACTGTATCGCGTGCCTTAACCACTTCTTATTGCAACAGGACAAAGGTTTGCTGATCATCACCAAGATTGGACTGGTTGTATCTCTCATCTGCCTGTTTCTCGCCATCCTCACTTTCCTGTTTTGTCGTGTCATCCGAGGGATCCGCACCAGCATCCACCTGCACCTTTGCTTGGCTCTCTTTGCTGGCAACGTCACCTTCCTGATGGGTGCTGGAAACCCTAGCAACATGGTAACTTGCTGGGATGGAGCACTGAGAGGAATTCAGGGGAGAGAAGGGGCATTCCAGAGCTATATAGTGCTTCAGAGCCCCACTGGACACGACAACCATGCAGTGGGAATGCTTTGCATCTTCCTTTGGGGAAGATATCCCAATGTGGAGCAGGAGATGTGGATGTGTGGGAACGTGCTCCCTGTTCCTTTTGCCTTAGTAATGCCTGGACTTCTCAGAGTAGTGGGCTGGATTTTGAAACCAGAGCTACACTGGCTTTTGCTAGAAAGGCAGTTTGCTTTGCAATGTCGAAGTGTAGCACCCATTTCACCAGCTGCAACTGAGGGTACTGTGGCTGGATAAATCTCTCATATCAACCACCTTGCAGAGCATAGGGTCTAGGCCGACCTCCTTGAGGAAGAGCTTCCCAGAGGTATTTGGAACTTGACCCCTCCAGACTGAGACCCTTAGGCCGAGTCTTCGTCAAGCAGCTGCTTCACCATCTCCTCTTGGTCCTGTCTCCCCTCCCAGATAGCATGTGCCATAGTGGCTGGGCTGCTACATTACTTCTTTCTGTCCGTCTTCTGCTGGATGCTGCTGGAGGGCGTGGAACTCTACTTGATGGTGGTTCAGGTCTTCAGAACACACTGCCTCAAGCACTGGCACATCTTCCTCGTGGGCTATGGGCTACCAGCTGTCGTGGTGGGCATCTCAGCTGCTGCAAATAGCGAGGGCTATGGCGGCAAGAAGTGAGTCCCAGGGTTTGGGCATGTACCCCTGTGGGCTACAGAATACCTGCGCCTCTGAACCCAGGTTACCTATTTATAGGCCACCTATAATTGCAGAGGCTTTCCTAGGCGGCTTACACGGAATAGCAATGTGCAGAGCTACGTGGCACATTAGCAGCTATGAATCGATACTTGTGCCACACAGTTGTGAGTGCAAGGCTAGATTTGCCCTTAAAGCGTGAGAGCCGAAATCATGCACCACTCCCATTTCAAAGCACCAAGCTGACAATGCCACAGTCACTGTGTACTGATTGACCATTCTGGCATGATTGGCAGCAAGAACTCTACTGCTGCAAGTTTACGTGAACTAGCGCACATTTCTAAGGAGGAAGGGGAGCAGATGTAAACTGATGTGGAAGATACATAGGAATTGCTACCTGCCTGAGTGACCCTTTTCTCTTCCCCACAGCTGCTGGCTTGCAAGGGAACGTGGGTTCCTGTGGAGCTTCTTGGCACCAGTCGCCTTCATCATTGTGGTAATGGCTAATGCATTCCCAAACCATCCCTTTCTCCTTCTGTTGGATGCCACCCTAAAGCCCACCTGTGCATTTACTTCAGAGTCCTTACCAGTCAAATCTTTGTCAAAGCATCAACTGCTGTTTGGTGTACTTTTATGCACCTTTGGATACAGTGGGCTGTGTGCTGCCAAGTTGGTTCATGCCAGTCAGGCTGTGAATGCTACTGTTTCCTATTGCATCCTTTGCCTAGAGGCACCAGATCCGATCCGCCATCTTGCGTCTCATCTGTTGTCAGCATCTTTGTCAGCATCTCCCAAACGATGGCTGCAGAGACGCAAGGCCAGTGTGCAACTGGGCCTCATTGGACCCAGTTTTATCTCCACCCAGTTCCCAGGAGCCTGGCTTTCCAAGACCAACTATTTTTTCATCTTGCCAGTCAGCTTGACAGTAGATGGATCTCATCACTTATGCTAACAGCCTATCTAATTCCATACATTCAATTTGTCTTGCACAGCTCAGTGTTTTTCCTATTTTTGATCTGCATTTTGGCCCCTGTAAGAGAAATTAGACAAACTGTGATGTCTACATTTGGCGTTTGTACAGCTCTTATCTCAAAACCATATTAACATTCATGTCACATGTTTTCATAGGTCAATGCCATTGTCTTTGTGATTACAATCTGGAAGCTCTCTGAGAAGTTTGCTGACATCAATCCTGACATGAATAGATTGAAAAAGCAGAGGTAAGCAGCCTCAGAAAAAATGACTTCTCGGAGTCTAAGAAGTCAGGAATTAATTAATGGAAAAATGCTACAATATCCCCTCCCATGCAGGAGTAGCCACTATCTTAGCTCCATATGATAATTTGAATGCCCCCATCCTGGAGGAAAGCTAATTTTTTAATTTAATTTAAACATTTCTATGCCGTCCTTTGCAACAAGCCTCAGGACAGCTTATAGGATGAAAAACATTGTTACCTACAACTAACATTGCAGGCCCTGTTTAGTCCCATTTGAAGAGAACTCTTCCCTGTCCCTGTAAGATGAAACATTACAGCTCCCAGCATGATTTGTGACCCAGCCTTTTTTTCTTGCAGGGTGCTCACTATCACAGCCATCGCCCAGCTCTGCATTTTGGGCCTCACCTGGGTCTTCGGTTTGTTTCAGTTCAGTAATTGCACCCTTGTCATGTCTTACATTTTCACCATCTTCAACAGCCTGCAGGGTCTCTTCATTTTCATACTGCATTGTCTACTCAAGCAACAGGTACCTGCAGCAAATAAGCAGGCCCTTTCCCTAAGCTGCAACCCTCTACAAACTTACCTGGAAATGAACCCCCTTAGATAGATTCAGGCTTATTTGCAAGTATTTGGGGCTTATTTGTGCATAGGACAACTTTATATCACCCAGGATGGGTAACATATGGGGGGTGGGGGGCATTTTTGCTTCTTGCCCACATGACCTGTTGCATTGATGCAAACTTTTAAAAATGACACCTGGCTTGCCTGCAGTGCACCAAAAGAGTCAACGCTTGCAAGCTATGGAGCACCAAAGGGGCTAACAATGGGGTCAAATGGCCACTCTGGATGCCTTTTTTTAAAAGCATGTGTTCATCCGCTTGCTTATGGTTCTGTGGGGCCACATGGGGCTTACCCTGCTCTACATGTTTGGCATTAGTAATGATGGGCTGGTATCTGAATGAAATGTCTGACTGCTGAATTTGTTTTGCACTGGAACTGAGCACCCTAAGAATAACTGCATTCATTTGGAGCCTGTCTTCTCTGTGTAGGTGCGCGATGAATACTATCGCTGGTTTTGTAAGGGCGGATTTGGCAAGGTACATGGCAGTGACAAGTATTCGGACTTCACCTCCATAGCAGGTTCCAACACATTACGGGTAAGACAAAGCAACGGAAGGTGTGCATTTCGGTCTTCTTGATGGGGCTTCACAGATTAATCAAGTCTTTCTTACTGGGCCTGTAGCCACTCTGCAGTGCTGCAACACCACCTTGTCCCTGCATCTGGCCAGGACTTCTGCAGGCCTCTGGCACAATCCTTCTCAAAATAATCAAGGGGTCAAGCCTGGAGCAATTTTTTATTTTTTCTTAGCCCTCCTCTGAAAGCTTCTGTTGAACTAAACAGAACCAGGAGAAACATATGCTCGAAGTAATAGTTCCACCAAACAATAAAACTGATAATGTGGTACATTCACTGGCTCCACCAGACCGAGCACATAAAGCAAACTAGTAACTATGGCCATGGAAGCATTTTGGTTTTGTATAAGCTTCTACACTCTTGCTCTCTTCAAGGGTTGGGCTTGGGAAGGAGGCCTGCATCTTCTTTGCCATATGCCTGCGTACAAGTTACAAGACTTGAAGGGATAACATATATGACGTATACAAGAATACAACATACGTAATTTAAGATATATGAGGTGTACAAGGTGTCTATAGAAAGAGGATTACCTGTACAGTACAATGAGAACATATGTGAACAGGAAAAGAACTATTAATTTAGACATGTAAATGAAAGGAGTTGTTGTTGTCGCTAGTTGCAAGTCGCGTCCCACCCATCGCGATCCCATGGACAACATTCCTCCAGGCCTTCCTGTCCTCCACCATCCCCCAGAGTCCACTTAAGCTCACAAAATGAAAGGAGTACAAATAACTATTTATTTGCAAACCTCAAATCTGTGCAGGAAGTTGCAAGATCGTAGACGCAGGAGAAACAGATGCTCATTCAAAAGAATAGGCCTGAACACAAATCTCGATGGGAGTGCGTGACAAACCTAATGAGAGGGGAGCAAACACCACTGCTGTCCAGTGCAGAGCATCTCCTCCATACAGCAGTTCCCCATCAGCCACTGAGAGGCAGGGCTGCCATTTGTGCACCTGATATCTGGTCCTTTAGGCATCCCAAGCAAAATAGCATTCAGCATAGATCAGTGTGAAATAACCTTTATGCCACCTCTTTGTGCCAACCCAGTCACTGAACCTGGACTGGCCTGATGCAGCATAATTCCAGCTACAGGTTAACTGGAACAAATATATTATTATTATTATTATTATTATTATTATTATTATTATTATTATTATTATTACATTTCTATGCCGCCCCTTGCCGAAACCTCGGGGCGGCTTACAACATGATAAAATACATTGAAATACAATAGTACATAATAAATTACCATTAAATATAACAATACAAAAAATACATTGATTTACAAATACAAAATTAAAATTATCAGTATAAAATAAAAATATAGGAGGAGAAAGAGAAGGAAGAAGAAGTTGCCCAGGCCAGATCATATGTTTTAACAATTGAAATGATGTTTAAATAAAAAGGTCTTTACCTGGCGCCGAAAAACCAGTAACGACGGTGCCAGGTGGACCTCTTTGGGGAGTGAATTCCATAGGTTGGGCGCCACCGCAGAGAAAGCCCTCCTCCGGGTACTTACTCTCCTAATTTCTTTCATGGAGGGTTCCCGGAGAAGGGACTCTCCCGCAGATCTCAAAGGGCGGTCGGGCATATACGGACGTAAGCGCTCGTTCAGGTAGCCAGGACCCAAGCCGTTTAGGGCTTTGTAGGTCATAATCAACAACTTGAATTGGGCCCGGGCTTCAATGGGAAGCCAGTGAAGCTGATGGAGGACTGGAGTCATGTGAGCATAACGCCCCGTCCCCGTCAGCAACCTGGCAGCTCTATTTTGCACCAATTGAAGTGTTCGGACTGTCTTCAGGGGAAGCCCCACGTAAAGCGCGTTACAGAAGTCTAGGCGGGAAGTCACCAGCGCGTGTGTCACCGTCGCCAGGCAGTCATATTCCAGGTAGGGGCGCAGCTAATTAATCAGCCGAAGCTGAAGGAAGGCGTTCCTTGCTACCGCTGTCACCTGAGCTTCCAAAGAAAGCTCCGGGTCGAGGAGTACTCCTAAGCTGCGGACCTTATCCCTAAGAGGGAGTGTTGCACCATTCAGGACCAGGTCAAATCCACCCTCTCCGAAACCCGATCCGCCAACCAACAGGACCTCCGTCTTGTCTGGGTTGAGTTTCAGTTTATTGGCCCTCATCCATTCCCTTACCTCGGCCAAGCACCGGTTCAGCACAGCCACTGCCTCACCTGGATTAGTAGAGAATGAGAGGTAAAGCTGGGTATCATCAGCGTATTGATGATTCCGCAGCCCACACCTCCTGATGACCTCTCCCAGCGGTTTCATATAGATGTTAAATAGCAGAGGGGATAGAATGGAGCCCTGTGGTACCCCATGGCATAGCTGTCATGACGTAGAGACATGGTCCCCCAGCACTACCTTCTGGAATCGACCGTCGAGATAGGAGCGGAACCACTGCAAAGCAGTGCCTCCAACCCCCAATCCCGCAAGTCTATCCAGAAGGATACCATGGTCGATGGTATCGAAAGCCGCCGAGAGGTCCAGAAGAACCAACAGGGATGTACTCCCCCTGTCCTTCTCCCTGCACAGGTCGTCGTACAGGGCAACCAAGGCAGATTCAGTACTGTACCCGGGTCTGAAGCCGGACTGAAAAGGATCCAGATAATCAGTTTCCTCCAAGAGTGCTTGGAGTTGTCCCGCCACCACTCGCTCCAGCACCTTGCCCAGAAACGGGATGTTGGCCACAGGTCTATAGTTAGTGGCCATCTCTGGATCCAGTGACGCTTTCTTCAGGACCGGTCGTATTACCGCCTCCTTTAAAGGGGCAGGCACTCGACCCTCCCTCAGAGAAGCGTTAACCACTTCCAAAATCCAGGTCCCAATCCCGTGCTTGGAGTTATTTATTAACCAAGACGGGCAAGGATCCAATAGGCAAGTGGTGGGACGTACTCTTCCAAGCACCTTGTCCACATCATTGGGCCGCAATAATTGAAATAATTAATATATGTAATGGTTTGAGTGGAAATCACCCCAATCACTTGCTATTATTTGTTTTAAGCCTGCTCATTAAAAGGAAGGAGCTTGTATAGTCTCATATCACCAAGTTCCAATCAGGGAAAAATTATACTTGCTTCAGAAGGAAAGAATAGCACCAGTGTGGCGTAGTGGTTAAGAGCACAGGACTGGGACTCAGGCAATCGGGGTTCTAGTGCCACTTAGCCACAGAGTCAAGTAGATGACATGGCGCCAATCACAGACTCTCAGCCCAACCTACCTGACAGGGTTGTTGTAGTGAGGATAGGATTGAGAAGAAGAGAATTATGTAAGCTGCCTTGAATTCCTTAAAAAGAAAAAAGGCAGGATATAACAATGAGAGAAAGAGAGAAATATTTGTGAACTATCAGCCAAACCAGCCAACCAACTTTCTGCTGTAAAGGGACAAAAGGAAATAGTCTCCTGGTAGAGGTAAGGTGCATTTCAGCTGCTTTACTTGCATTCTTCTTCATCTTTCCTACAGGCAAACAAGTCTTCAAGTGAATCTGGAGTATAGCAGCCCTTTGCAGAAGCTCCAGGAATGCTGCATTGCAGATGACAAACACTTATTCTGGTGGTCTCTCCACTAGAATTATCTGCTGGTACAGGCCTTTTGCAACAAGGACAACAAAACTTCCAGAAAGCTGTGTAGAGACCTACCTAGCAAGCTCAAGCACTGGACAAACGCTCTTAAGATATTGGCACAGGCCTCTTCAGCAAGGGGTCTCTTTTCCCTTCTTGCTCTTATTCAAAACAAAACGAGATAGCCTAAGTTTGTAACTAGGTACTTGCACATATTACACTTTTAAAGAAGCCCTTGCAATGGAAATGGGTTAGCTCTAGCAAGAGTGCACTGCCATGGGCCAAGCAATTTGTACCTCAGGAGGTGATCATCAGAAATAGGAAGGAAATAACCAGTTTGCTAGCTGCAGCAGCTAGTTCTGAGAATCGTCCATTCAGTGAGTGTCTAGTTTGCTTGCGCTTCCTCTGTGCATAAGTCTAAGTTGTTGACTGCAGCACAAAGAAGTCCAGCTGGAGATCTAAAAAGGGTACTATGTGCAAAGCCTCATAAGCCGGAACATGGGCCTCAACCACCAGTGGCGAGGGTGGTGCCACAGAACTTCAAACTATTTTGACTGTTCCCCTCAGCCCTACTTGACTCTTTTGTCCAAAGGTTAGCAAAATAGTGAAGTTTAGTATTTTGTGAGATAAACAATGGTCTAGAGTCTACTACAGGTTGCAGGTGAGCACTCGTGTCTAAATGTCCCCCCATATAAACACATCTGGAAAATTGGCAAAGGCAAGGCTTGTACCTAGTTTTCTATGTGCAAGGATTTTTTAAAACAGAACTAGTCAAGCAGACTTCACTTGGCAATCCGCAGCACAGACACAGGTTTGCTGCCAGGATTCAAGTGGGACACAACAAGCCCTAGGCAAGCTATGAAGCAAAGCTGCCCGGCCCTAAGTGCTGCTTTTTGTGCACCAAGGAATCTGCCGTATTCTCAGAATTTAGCTGCAACCCAATACTGTGATATTTCATGGCTTGTTCATACTTCATATATTTGTGCAGAAGGACTAAAATATGTGACTGCATCATCAATTGTGAAAGGTACCTTGATGAATTATGCATATTGTTTCTTTATACTGCTCTGAAGTAGAAGCCTAATGCTTTTCTGGTCATCACTGCCAGTATTTTAAAGAGTGCATGTGTAACATACAAGTGTGTTCTTCAGCCCGACGTAGCTCTTTTGCTAGTACCCATACCAGAGTTGAAAAATTATCAACTGCTTCTCCAAATGCCTTGTAGAACAAGGGAAGAATCCAACACAGAGACCAACAACAGAAGTACTATCACCCAAGTCATAAGCTAAGCACCCTACTTCTACTCTTGAAAAGGTTCTCATACTCCCATTTCTTTCCTGCCCCATAGTTCACATTTCTTCTGTTCTGTCCCTAGAATTTTGCATAGTGGCAGCAAATATACAAGGAAGATGATACCACACACGAGAAATATAAATGTGAAGAATCTGTCAAACAGCTGAGAGCCTCCTACACAAAGACTAAATAAATAAGAAAAAGACAGATTTCTGGAAATGGCTACCAAAGTTAATGAATAGAATTATACTGGTAGTTTATACCAAATACTAAAATTTTACAGTGTTGCCTATCTAGACTAATTTATTAAGGGCCATTTCTAGTTTTGCCAAACTCCTGTTCTTGAGCCAAAGATTTGTCTATGCATACTCCCAATTCCAAATGCACTTTATTTCTAGAATTCTGCCACTAGGTAACCCATGCAGCCAGCACGATACAGTTAACAAATCTAAATTTGTATACTATTCAGTGCTAGCTGAGAGGAAAGAAAGAAGGCTGTATAGCAAAGTTTAATTCTGTGCTGCATTCCTTACTCCATCCATCAGATGGTTGCTTTCAAACCTAGTCTTTCAAGTAGCTCAATTTTGCACTATTATAGTCTGTGAATTCGTTCTTGAAATAAGGGAGAATTCAAAATGTATAAAGTAATATTCCTGCCATGAAACATGCACACTCCAAGAGTGCCTGAAAATAAACATGTTTGCAGGTTAGCTAGACATATTTGCACAACAAAGCCTTTGTTCCCCTGTAAATAGCAGCTCTTATTTGAAGCACTTGTTTCTCAACCATTTTTCCTAATATGTACATTGAATTAAAAGGTATTTGGAGATTCTGAGCTATACTGTCTTTCAGAGCAAGTAACTTGGGGAGTGGGTGGCAGAGGAAAGGCATGTCAATACTAAGGGAAGGAACTCTCATATAAGTACAGTCAGATCGGCATTCTATGATGCTAGGTCACTTGGCAAAACAAAGGACGTGGCCTCAGGCCCTTCACTGCTATGTGATATGTGACTCTTCAGAAAGCAACCTGTTCCATGAACATGTACAGGAGTACATGGAGGCTCAAGCAAGGAAAAAGATATTAAAGTGTTCATATCCTGTTTACTCCTTCCCCTTTTCTCAAACAGCAAAAATTACAGCTTCTTAAAGACCTCTACCTATATTTTCTTATTCAAAAGACATTGCAATATCAAACAAATTAAAAACAAATCTCAAAGCTACATGAGGTCAAAAGGTGCAGTAAAGAAGGATGCAGGGTATTGGGCATTAGCAGCAAAAAGTAAAACTAGGGTAGTCTGGCGAAAGTCAAGTTCCTGACAGAGCAGCACAAGTAATGCAAGTAGGCAAAGGAAATGAAGGGCTGGGACAGCAAAAAAAGTGGAAGATGTAGGAACAAATGAAGACCACAAGAATATATGTAATCAAAATTTGAATCGTCAACAGAATTTCATACCAATAACAAGTCATTATTCCTCAAGAACAGCCAGAAAATGACATTTTAAAAATCCATTTATTATGAAACTTAGCCACAGGGGCTTACTATTCAGAAAATAGAAACATCTAATTAAAAAAGCCCCCAGGCTAGCATGAGGCAAAATACTATCCAGGCAATTTAAAAGACATTCATTTTAAGATCAAACACCCCATAGGTTTAACAGTGCGTTTCAAAAAAAAATGATATTCATCTGGCTTCAATCAGGAGATAGAGGTGCAGTTTACTCATCTTCTGGTGCCACTCTGAGATCCAAGAACACACGCTACCGGCTCTGCTCAACTACAAGAGACAAGACAACCACTTAGTAACTCTCCCTAGCAAAGCTGAGAACTGCAACAAACACCTGAATGCTGCCCTTGGCTCCGGAGCCGGCTACATCCAAGCTCTGCTGCAAGGCTTCAGTTCGATCCCTAGGACCTAGTTCACAAATGCCTGAGTGGACATGCTGCCTGCAGCATACATGCTTCTACTACACAACCCATGATTGACTCCTTCACAGCTTGCACAGCATGACATGCAAAGCTGGACTGCTGGAATATTCAGGGGATAAATTACCCAGCAGTTAACCCATGGTTTGGTTCTTGGGTTGACAGCCTGGTTGTTTAGCTCCTAAACCCCAGTGATGCAAGTTCACATGTCATGCTGTGCAAGTTATGCTGTAGAGTGGAGGAGGTGCACCTCACTTTCCAAAGCTGGAGCTAAAGTCTGCTTTCCAAGCACTACCTGTCAGCTGTTACCATAAGGCCTCAAAACCATATTCGTTTTAGATACAGAGGAAGATCTACTCAGTAGGTTCCTTTTCTAAAACCAGCCCAGTCTGACTTCGTTCTCTACAAGGTTCCCAGAAACACAAGCAGATGGGCTGTATCTGTTCTCTGCACTGGTTACTCTGATGTTTTTCCTCAACATTTAAGCAAAATATATTAAAACATGTCAGTAGGAAGAGAGGCCCACCCAAGTTGCCTTCCAATACATACTATATGAGGAGATGTCTATCTCTTCAGGGAGCTCAGCTACATTGACTTCAAAGCGATCCTGCACATCATTAAGGATTTTGGCATCACCTTCATCTGACACAAAGGTAACAGCCAAACCTTTTGTGCCAAATCGGCCAGCTCGGGCAACCTATGGAGAGAAGGATGTATCAAGGATATACAAAAGAGGCTTCTGTGCAGTCTCTGAATCCACTATCAGAGGAAAGGAAAGACTGAATCATCCATTCAGCCAGCCCCAAATAACCATCAAGGGTATTCATGATGGAGTTGTGTCCTGTAAGAGGTTCAGAATACAGAGAGGCTGTTTCTCCAATCTAAAAACCTATGCAGAGTGGCATTAAACAGGGATTTCAGTCACTGGACTAGGAACTAGGCAAGGCCAGCAACTGCTACCAGCTCCCTGCCACAGCCACCAGGGCAAGGCATCAACAAGCAACTCCCAGGGGGGAGAAAAAGTATGCGAGCCATTTTCTCAGCCTCACCCTATGCAAGTAGGTATCAGAATCCTCAGGCATGTCATAATTGAACACTATGTTGATCCGCTCTATGTCCATCCCACGGCCAAACAGATTCGTGGCCACCAGGATTCGACGCTGGAAGTCCTTGAACTGCTGGTACCTAGAGAGCCTGTGAAGAAAAAAAAAGGAAAATGGCAGACCCTCCTCAAACCATTACATAGCTCTCTTCTGGAACTGGGTGCAACACAGCCTGCAGGCTCCAGGCAGTATGTTCACACATGCACACACCTGACTTTCTAGAGTTCTTTTTTCCTTAACACACCGAAGTGACAAATAAAAATTGGATGCATCTGCTCAGCATTCATGCCTGGTGCTTTATTAGTGCCTGCCCTCTCTTGCCATACCCACCTCTCCTCCTGAGACATGCCCCTGTGAATAGCAATGGCTGGAAAGTTCTGCTCAACCAGAAGCTGAGCTAATGCCATGCAGCGCTGCACTGACTTTACAAATATCACAACCTACAAGAGATGGGAAGAGAAAAAGTGCATTTAACTTGGGAAGCCCAGGAATCCCCATTAGCCCTCTCAGCCCAGTGCTTAGCTGTTTATGAGCTCACTTAGTTTTGAGCCCTACAGCTGAGATACAGCTTAGGTGCCCTGGTAGCCAGCCCTGCCCTCCACAGACCTGGTTAAACTCCAGTACGTCCAGCAGGTCAAAGAGCTTGCGGTTTTTCTCCGTGTCCTTCAGCTTCACGTAGTACTGCTGCAGGCCATGCAGCGTCAGCTTAGTTTCATCATCTACAAAGACCTCCATGGGCTGCAGGGAAGAAAGTCAATGTCACCTTTTATCAGCAGTGAAAGCAAAATCCTCCATCTCTATCTATCCCCCTCACACACCACTGTTGTTTTGAGTTGTACAGCTGTTTCCAGCACTACTTTTTGTTTAATTGATAAATGAAGAAATATCAAATTCCCATAGAAATAGGCATTATTCTGATTATCTCAGTAATGGTTATGAGGCTGGGGGCAGAAGAAGAGATTCTGCAGATGAACTTTCAAAAGCTCTTTCTACTAAGCACTGGAAGAGAATTCCCACAACTGCTAATTATCCACAAAATTGGTTTAAGTGCCCAGTAGCAGAAAAAACTAACTAGAGAGTCATTTATTGTGCACTTCAAGCTCCTCAGGTAAACAATCTCTGATCCACAGGGGAAACAATGAAGGAAAAGAAACATGCAGAACTAGGAGATCAGCTCCAGCACAGCTCTTCTTTAGGATTTTGAACAAGGAGCAGTAGTGCTCAGTACATGTTCTATTTTGCCTGGAGCTATGCAGGTGTTGCAGTAGTACTCCAACTATCATCTTATTTTTCCTGCATTTTGTGCCAACTTTTCTTTGCCTGCCATGGCATTCTAATTTTTGGAGAAATAAGCAGTTCATCCTTTCAAGCACGCAACTCCACAGCTCGGTAGTGAAGTATGCATGTGAAAAGTCCCAGGCTCAGTCCCTGCCATCTCTGGCTAAAACCATTTCCAAGAAAAGGAGGGCCGTGACACAGAGCACGGGAAAAAATGCACACGGCCGGAGCCGGTGATGGGCAGGGCCAGATCCCCAAAGGGCGCAGTCTGTAGCACTGCATAGCTCTCTGTGCCACCCCATCTCTTCCCTAGCTCCTTGCCTATGAGCAAGCACACACAGAAAGCCAGGAGTGAACAGACGCCTGGCTTGCAGGTGCTATTTGGTTCTTTGGTAGAACCTCGAGATCAGCCAGAGTCAGAATTAAAAGAATTTCACGCCCAGGCATTCTTCTGAGTGCCAAAAGTGCATGGAAGCTTCCACACAAAATTCAACCTCTCGTGGCATTAATCCTGCATTCTTTTTGGTGCCCGGACGAAGCCTGTCTCTTTGTCCAGGAATTTTATATTTGTATTTTTAGCAGGTTTAAATATATTGATATTCAGGTGCCATATAGTTTTTATATTATATATTGATTCTCGCACACTCTGCCCTAAAATTCTCTTTCAAATGAAGGCAAAGTCTATTTTTTATAAATAAAAACCGAGTGTGGCGTAGGAGACAGAGTGTTGGACTGGGACCTGAGAGATACGGGTTTTAGGTCTCCCATTCAGCCATGAAGCTCACTGGGTGACTATGTGCCAGTCACTGCCCCTCAACCTCACGGTAAATGCATGCAAAATTCTTGTGAGGATAAAATGGGAAGAAAGACCACCATGTATGCTCCCCTTGGGTCCTTTGCACAAGGAAAAAGGCAGGATATAAAAGTAATAATGAACAATACAAATTCAAGAAATACAGAAGAATTTCCCTGGCAAGATTATGGTAAAAAGCTAGGAACTGAAGCTACGCCTTTGACTAGGCTGCAAGAAAGGCAAACTGCCTCCAGAGGGCCCCTTTTCCTAGTGTGGAAGGTTCTTCCATGGACCTTCCATACTAGAGCAACTGAACAAGTAAAGCATAAGGCGAGAAGTTTAGGGCTTACATCCTGCATGAACTTCCTGCAGACAGGCCGGATCTCCTTGCTCAGGGTGGCACTAAACATCATACACTGCTTCTCATGGGGTGTCAAACGAAAAATCTCCTGCACATCACGGCGCATGTCTAGAGAAGTAAGAAAAGTCAGGTTCCCAGTCATTCACCAAGTTCCAGATTTTCAACACAGGTATGCACCAGCCAAGGTCTACTCCCCTTCCCGTCACACAGATCCAATATAACCTTTTCCTACCACACAACTCAAAGACTAGGGATAGAACCGTAGGTTCTAGCAAGAAATTATCGCCAGTTTTCTCATGGAGCAGTTATGAACATTGAGATGCCTGAAAGGATCTCTCCACAACAATCTACCTCCTGTAAGGAACAACTGGCATTTTTGACTGCAATTAGATATCCTAGATATCTGCTCAGAAGGAAGCCACATTTAGTTCTGTGCCACTTTCTCCTAAGTGAGTGTGTATAGAATTGCAGCCTCAGGGTGTGATCTGGTGTTATACAATGAGCCCAAAGAGATTCTGACTTATGTACTAACTCCTCCCCCTGCATGAAGATGTTACAGACAACCATGGTATGGCAAGCCAGTCTTTTTTGTCTGAATAAATACGGCAGCCTTTTCCAACCTGTTTGCTCCCCCGATATTTTGAATTACAATTCCTATCATCCCCAGCCAACATGGTCAGGGATGATGAGAACTGTGGTTCCAAAACATCTGAAAAGTGTCAGGTTGTGCAAGATGTAGGTATGACTTGAATAAATAAATTCAATAAATTTATTGAGAGAGAGAGAGAGAGAGAGAGAGAGAGAGAGAGAGAGAGAGAGAGAGG